CCCTAAACCCTAATCCGAAAACCTCCAGTCTTGGGCTTTCGGTGCCCCTTTAACCCCCCGACGCACTAGACGCGACAGCCCTGAAACCCGAAAGCCCCGCATAGGGCACAGGAGCCTTGTATCCGAAGCCCTTGCTGGGCTGACTGTGGGCTCGAACATGGGTTAAGGTTTAGGGTTTAGGGTTGTTTGTAGAAGCTTTGCTAGAAAGCCTCGAAGCCGGTTATAACCCCTCAACCCCCCAGCCAGCCCACTTCTAAGGCCTCGTAGGGCTTTCAGAACGGCTTACTTTGCAGGCTTCGTTTGCGGTTTGTTGCGTGACTTGGTAAACTTAATGCTCGAGGAGCCTGCTTCCCTCAAAAAATCTCCATAGTGTAATTTACTCCCACAACCCTCTCAACCCTAAACCCTAAACGGGTCATATGTCAAGCCCAAACCATGCAGTGTGAAGCACCTTGGGTCAAGGGTCTCGGAATGCATGCTGCCTGAAAGCGGGTGCCTCCAACTTGTCGTGGTGCTCGCTCGATGCTTCTTTTCTTGGCCACGCGAATCCACTATCCACGAAAGGATTGGGGTTGGCTCACGGCCCAGGGTCGGGGTCGGCACGAGGCTTGGGTTTGGCCGACGGGGGATTGCTTCAAAGAGAGAGTAGAAGGCAAAGTCGTTGTCCTTTACAGAACTAAAGATTTATCCTACACTAGCAGTGATGCTGGTGCACGAACATGCCCGCTCGGATACGCACGTGCTCGCTCCAAAGCACCGTGCTCCCCCAAGCGCGAACGTGCTTCCTCGGATGAAAATTATCGCGGCAAGAAATGCACGCGGAATCACAAATCTGAAAGAGCACCATGTTCTACTAAATCCCAGCCAAGGCCCTTAAAGGCACGCCTCTCGATGAAAACTGCATGCTCGCTCGAAAACCCAATCTTTAAAGGAACGCATGCTCGCTCGATTTTTATTTTCGCGTGGTGTGACGCTGCGCGGGGGGCGACGCGGCAGGACGCACGCTGCGCGGAAACCGCTATCTGAGGTGATTCCTTGGCTCAATCATGGCTTCCAGCCAATGGATACAGAAAAAAAGACTCAAGCAGCTCTCAGAGCCGACCTGAGCAAGCAGCGTCCTCGCTCGTTGCCGAGCACACAATCACCAACACAAGGCCCCCGTTATCCAAGGTGTGATATGCCCCAGCGACCGGCGGCCGGAGATGCTGCAGAGAGTACAGCAAAACTGAACATGGTGGATTCACTTGCTCGGTGGTGGTACCCAGAAAAAAGGCATCGAGCGAGCACCACAACAACTTGGAGGCACCCACTTTCAGGCAGCATGCATTCCGAGACCCTTGATTGGGGCCTAAGGGTTTAGGGATAAACGCTAAACCGTGCCTAAGGGTTTAGAGTTCTTGAGGCTTAAAGGATTCCTAGGTTTTCATAGTAACGGTTTAGGGTTTAGGGCCTTGGGGCTTTTCGGATTCAGGGCTTCGTCAAACAGAGCCGAGGCTGATCCCCAATCCGAGCTCCCAGTGGCTGCAAAAGGCGTCCACCGGCACCTTGGCCGCATGACGCAGGGTTTTGGGTTCAGGGTTTATGGGTTTGGGGTGTTCTGTATGTTTTGTGGGTGGGCGGATTCTGCTGGCGTTCTTTAGTACGCGAAAGAGTGCGTACGTTTGCAGAGTTTCTGACAGAATACCGGGAGTCCTTTTTGTGGACGCGCCCTCCACTCTAAATCCGCACGCCAATCTCGCCAAAATGGAAGCCCAGTAAGAGACCTTAGGCCCTGCAGTGTCTAACCCCTAAGCCCCGCCATAAATAACTCTCAAATAGGCCCTAAACCCTAAACCCATCCAACCCAAAACAAAGCCAAGGAGTCCAGCTGCTTGTGAAGTTGCCATGAAAGCCGCCGGCGGCTTCATGACAGGCCGTCAAAGTTTCAGATTTTGGATTGCGGGCCGAGTTCCCTAAACCCTAAACTCCTGAGGTCTTGATTATGACTGTACTATAATTACGAATAGTATAGCCCAAGACAAGATTCTACTGACCAGGGGCCCTGAAGTAGAGGCTACTTTCGTTGCAGCTTTCTGGTTGCCATCGCTGCTGAGATCATGCAAGACTAGGGTGTAGGGCTTAGGCCTAAGCCGCTGAACCCCTGAAAGTTAGGGCTCAGCTCCAAGACACTCTTGATTCCAGCAATGGCACTCTTGCCATGGACATGAGAATACAAGAGGTTCATGGCTTCGAAGCGAGGGTTCACTTCTGGTTTTACCATCAGGGGCTTTGGGTTTAGTTTAGGTTTTAGGGTTCGAGATGCGCTGGCCGGCACCTCAGTCCGTGCTGAAAAGGGTTCGAGATTCTTATCACACGAGGCCATAAGGGCTGTGAAGGGCACAAGCCGTGGTAGGGAAGCTCGGTGCAGGGCTCTGAGCAGCAAAGCCAGGGCGGTCTAGAGTTTAGTCGTTTTAGGGCCCTGGGATTTCGGAGATGTCAGGTTAGGGTTTAGGGTTTAGGGGTTAGGGTTTAGGGTTTGGGGGTTTAGCGGTTTAGGGGTTTAGGGTTTAGGGTTTAGGGTTGGGAACTGTTCCCAGTCCCCTAAACCCTACCTATAGTCTCCATTGTTGTTCCTTTCTTTGGTTCAACCAATTACACATTAATTGAGGATTTTATAAGGTATCCCCCAAAAGGAACTACAATGGAGACTAGAGGTAACCCCTTACTAAACCACTATAAAGTTCAGGAATTGTTTCAACCAAAATTGGTAGAGGCGATGCCAGGTGGTTGCCGGGAGGAGTTCCAACCAAATCGAACCGCCAGTCCTGAATTCTTAAGGGTTTATTTTAGAGGCCTAGAGAATTACCTCCATTATTTTTGGGGGTTCCTTACGATAGTTATAGTATAACGGACCCCCCCAAAAACTCCGAAAGAGCCTAGTTACAGACACCAAGTGCTCTCTGGAGGTCTTTCTGCAGGACTGTGACTCGAGTACAGAGGGTGGACGCCGATGCACGCAAAAGAGCTTCTGGTGCAAGATGCTCAGAAGCTTTTTTCATCCGAAGCCGCTGTCGGGGGGGTTGTCATTTACTAGGTGGCAGTGTGGGAAACTTTAACGTTTCCCTTATGGTTTCTATAGAGGTACCTATTCATAAGTACTTTTCAGGTCCCCAATTTGGGAAACTTTAACATTTCCCTTCTGGTTTCTATAGAGGTACCTATTCATAAATCCTTTTCAGGTCCCCAAAACTACAACCCAGTTTATGCTGCAGTGCACAGCCTGGGAAAGATGCAGGATCTGCACTGCAGCGTGGTGGTATGAACTTGAGTGAAACGTCTTGTTTGTCGTTTTGTTCCAAAGGTGGAGGAAGACTGGAGCATAAAAGCCTAGACTGCAGTTCTGAGCTGAACATTTTCAGTCTCAGTATCAGTCCTGCCACAGGCTGGAGTCTTGATTGTGATATCAGAGCATCATCAATACTTTTCTTATCGTTGATGTTGCGAACATCTAACGGGTTGTTCGCTTCATTAGAGTAGGCATCAGCATCAGCCACAACAATCAACAACAACGTATTACAAGCTCATCATGCAGCTAATCACTGCCGAAAGCCCTCCCTGAACTTAGACGTAGATGGAAGCATCTCGGGCAATCTGCACCGTGACTTCGGATCCAAAAGGTAGAAGATTGGATTAAAAAAGAGGTGGGAGTTGTGGGATTCTGGAAAGGCTATCAAGGCCACATATGCGCAGCAGGAAACCAAAACTGGACAGATTTGTTTACAAGTTGACGTTGGGATCACAACTCGAGCTCTTTGCAGCTACACCTCTTGGTCCAGCATCCCTAGGCAGCCCTGGTACCCTGAACCCTTCAATCCCTAAACCCTTAGCAGCCCCTTGCCCTCAACCACAGAGGCATAATCTCCTGTCGAGCTCGCAGTTTTCCTACTGTATGATCGTTGTGTGCTTCTTGGTGGTTATTGCCTTTCGTGCCCTCGACACTGGCGGCAGTATCTTGTGGTCCTCATAAGCTCGTCGTTTATCATATAATCTAGCCCCATGTTTCTTTTTGAGGGTTATTCGTACTTTGCGGGATTTGGCTTCAGGGTAGTGGTTCACTGCTCTGGAAACTCGGGAGTCTTTGTAGACGAGAGCTTTTCGGGTTTAGGGTCTATAGGTCCTTTGGCTCCAAGATCGAGCATCAGGGTGTCGGAGTGGTGCTGGCATGCTGTGGGATGCTTTCAGAGTCTCTCCTGCTTGAGCCGGCAGAGAGAGCTGAGCCTCCCAGGCTACCTTAACTCACTATGCGGCTGCCCTAGAGATGATGACCTTTTGGCGTTGCCGCAAACACAGCTTCTGCGTTGATCGATGATTACGCGCCATTCCGTCGTTCTAGTAGCGGCTGCGGTAGTGGCAGTAGGAATTGCTGTGAGTTTAATCAGGTGTTGCCGCAGTGGTTGAAGTAGTAGTAGTAGTAGTAGTAGTAGTAGTAGTAGTAGTAGTAGTAATACTAGTAGTATCAGCAGTAGTAGTAGCAGTAGTAGTAGTAGTAGTAGTAGTAGTAGAAGTAGAAGTAGTATTAGTAGTAGTAGTAGTAGTAGTAGTAGTAGTAGAAGCAGTAGTAGTAGCAGTAGTAGTAGTAGTAGTAGTAGTTGTTGTTGTTGTATCAGTAGTAGTAG